TCTATATCCATACTGAGGTTTGAAAATTACTGTTTGTAATCTTGTTGATAGACATCGTATCTATCCCAGGCTTAGTGGATGGGCAGGCAGGTACTTGCTTATTTAAGATTCATTGCTTTTCATAATTTGCATTGTAGCTTGCATATCTTTTTGCTTGGTTTAATTTTTGGCTTTAATTTCTGATATCCTGTAGCCTCCATATTAAGATGTATCTATGAGACAGCAGAAAATGAAACTTTTGTCCTCTTTGCTTACATTGTTTTACCTTTTCACCATCAGCCACACCCCTGGGAAGGAGCGGCCTCTGGAGGAGAATGCCGAATTGGCTACGTAGTGTAGACTGATATGTTTTAGAAAAGAGCTTGCTTACGTGCAATCGTTTTTTGTTTTCTATTAGTTGAAAATTCTAGTTATTGTGTTTTAAGATTTTTTATTTTTTCATAGGTCTTTAAATCTGTAATATGCAGAATGCTAAATGAAAGGGAAAACAGAGGATGAGGATATTAAGAAGGTATTTAATATATTTAGTACTAGACAATGAATAAATACTAATTTGATTCAGGGAGGGGATGGAAGCAATCAGCAATAGCAAATTTAAATCATCTGTAGATGATCAAACCAGATCCTTAAAGGTGTTACCATCAACATTTCAGTGTTCTCCAACACTGTTGGAGAAAGTGTGCACTGTTTTCCCTGTGTTTAATTTTAGTGGCACCACTAAAATTACTGTCTCTTTAAGACAAAAGTAAAAACTGGCTTATTTATAAAGTCCATACTCTCAGAAACATTCCTCCTGGGGGAAAAAAGAAGCCTGGTACCACTGGTCGTTGTCAGGTTCTGGGAAGACTAGTAAGCCTTCTGGCCTCTCTGCCAGGACCCATCTCCCGGCCAGTGGCCAAACTTACTTAAGACTTTTATACCTTGGCTTTTTGGGTACTGCTTGGGTACTGTCTTCCTTTCTTGGAAAGAGGTTGAGCCTTTTAGAACTTGAAAGGGCCTTAGAATGATTGAAAGGCTATACTTTTTATTTTACTGTTAATTAAACCACAATTCACAGAATTGACGTTTTCTTCGAGGCCTTGATACGAGACTATGAAGAAGCCTGGTACTGCGGTTTCCTTCAGTGGGGCCGTGCAGTTGAGTAATCGTTTAAAAATGTGTCCCTTTCTCCCAGAGGATGTTATCTTTTCTGTTCGAGGGTTTCTTACAGCCATTCCATCCTGTTAGCTATTTTTGATTTTGTCTTTTCAGTGATTGGGAGGCCATATTAGGGTGTGAGTGGCAATTTATACCTTGCTTTTAGTAAAGAGTTATGTAAAAATTAAGATTAAAAACTCTTGAAACAAAGGCCTGTGGGGGAGCAGTAACGCCTCTGAGTCACACTGCAGAGCGGCAGAGGAGGAGAGTTCACAAGGCATTGGCCTCTTTTCTTGGTACCATATATGGGGTGGGGCAGAGGTTGGTTTACAGTTGTTTGTATGGAAGATAATATAATTAACAAATACTACAAGAAAAAACGGTTTTGCTGACTCCCAACTGTAAACCTACTTTTGCCCACCCTGTGTTTACTTTCTTCTCCCTCCCTTTCCTTGGCCGCTTTGCTCAGGTAACTTAGACTAGGGAGGGGGATGGTGTGGCATTAGAGGCTTGAGTTGAGAGTTTGGACTCCTAGGTCCAGCCTTGCTCCAAACCTCCATTTCTTCTCCTTGGGCCTTATTTCGGCTGCCTTTAGAATGAAAGGCTGGACTGGGTAGTCAGTCCCCAAGGATCCCTCCAGCTCTGATGCTGTTTGGATTCATGCATCCTGGACTGGCCACCGCCCGCAGTTTGCTCTGACACACCGAATCGATTCTGCATTGGAACTTTTACCACAATGCACCTTGGGTGGTCCCAGGCTACTTTTTCCCCCCAGGAGGAACGTTTCTGAGAGTATGGATTTTATAAATAAGCCAGTTTTTATTTTTGTCTTAGACAGTAAAAGGTAAAAAGTAAGAGTGGTAGAAGACCAGAAGGTTGTGGGAAGTACAGTAATGTGTATCCCAAGTAACCGTTGTAGAATAGCAAATGCTTTGTTAGATCTGTATAGGGCACAGTTTTCAACTGGTGTGCTACAAGAATTTTTAAAACATGCAATACCTATTTCATAGGGGGCACTGACCTCTTTTCTATTAGATTGTCAGATAAGAAACAATGACAACAGCCACACACATCAATAGCCATTCGTTACGTATGAATCAAAATTAGACCTATTTTTTTGTTTGTTTTATGGGCAAAGATCTGTATTTTATGGTGTGCCACAGAACTGTAGTAAGTAGTTTATGTGTGCCATGTGATGAAAAAGGTTGTAAGTTGCGGATATAGGGTGGCACCCTATTGTGGATTCCCCTGATGCTATTCCAAAGAATAAGGGGCTGTAAAGAAGCTCAAAGTCCGTAGTTAGTTTCCACCTTTGGGAAAAGGAGTGCTGCTTACCCCAGGGCGTGAGAGCAGGGAGAGCTACTGAGGACAGGATTTCCAGCTTCCTCGGAACCTGCTCTTATGATTTGAGCCCCTCTCAGCTCTTCATGACTAGAAGGGTTTGTTTCCGTTGAAGTTGTCACTTCCACCCTAGAATAGACCGATGATTCTTGTAGGGTGTTCACAGCTCTTTGATTATGAGTCTGTCCCCTGAGCAGAGTTGCTGGCTATATTGTAAGGTGGTAAAGTACAATCTGGCTCTGTCCCTACTGGAAACAGTTCACCCATAGGCTCTTTTCTTCGAAGTGGGTGGGGTTCCTTCCATTCCTGCCTGAATGAAAAGCATTTAGCTGACTTCCTGATCATGCCCTGACTTGTCCTTCATTTTTTCTTCGCTTTTCGTTATTCTTTGCGGCAGCTCAGTCCATCTTCCAGTTGTGGTTCCATGCAAGGCAAGAGCCACAGAGCTTTGTACATGTTTGTTATTGGAAAGGCAGCTTTGCAAGCTGCAGTTAGGGAAGGGGTTTAGGTCTCTTGCTATGCCTGCAGGATTCGGGTGAGGAGTGGGGAAGCTCCGGGGGCCTGGGGAGACTTGGATCTAGTAAAACACTCTAGATAAGAATTTGAGGAAATGGAACTCTGGGTTGCTGACAGAACAAAAATATTTGAGGAACGCTCTTGATTAGATAAATAGGTTATTTTTAGTTTGTACAGAAAGAGTAGTTTCATCAGTGCAGTGGAATCTTGCAGTTATGTTTGTAACCTAAACTAATCGGTTTAGGCTTGTGCCAGAAAAGTGTCAGGTGGCACGCTGATTTCCTCCTAACTTTTAGTACTTACTGCCTGCCTTAACTCCTGCAGTCCTGTGGCGGGGCCTCTCAGGGCATGGCTTGGTAGTGCGGAATAAAAGGGGTGAGCTGCTGCTGCTTGAGATGCTCATGGAGGAGAGAGGACCTGTGCGATAGATCCTTGCCTTAGTGCCTGCTCTTGGGCTGTAGGTCTCTGGGGTAGGTGCATTGCAGCGCTTAAATTCAGTGTTCCCTTTGGGACACCGGGCAGTACTTTGGGTGGAACTGCCTTAGAATCTGATTGTCCGTTTTTCCAATTCACTTGTCATTCCCTACCTATCTCTTGCTTCTCAGTTAGTTTACTCTGCCTTAAGTGATTTTTGTCGGATCTTAAGCTCTCGGTTACCGTTCATTCAGCACACCTTTATTGAGTGGCCCACCCAAATGTGTGCCTGGCGTTATGGCAGGTGCTGGGTGTCCTTTGGTATTTGTTTCTTAGAGGCTCTGGATTTTATATGTGTTAATTCTGTCGAAGAATGCCGACTTGTTGATTACTTAAAGTATTATCATTTTTAATTTTGGGAAAGTCAGTTTATATAAATTACTAGGTTAGTAAAACATGTTTAGTGGTCAATCCTGGTTTGGGTGCTATAGGCTCATGTAAGGGAGATAGACCTTCCTAAGATGTGACCTTTGCAGCATTTGCAATGGTGTGGGGAAAACAAGAGACAGTACAAATTATTGAAGAAAAAAAAAACCAAGTGCAAACTAAGTCAGCTGTACATAACTAATTACCCGAGTGCTACTTGGACAGAAGGTTTATAGCTCTTTGCTGGAGCAAGTTTTGCTTTTATTTCTTTAGCTTTAATACACAAAGGCATTAGCCAGCAGCTTTGAGTGTGGCTGTTCGAAGTGTTGGAATTTTTCTCCTTGCACTGGCCTTATTTTTTGCTTGAATAACCTGGGCTGAGAACAGGGAAAACTGAATGGGTAGTCAGCTCTAAAGCAAAGCAGCCAGTGACTGGTCCTTCTCATTTGGCAAGGCCAGGGGAGTGGGGCGGTGATGTTCACGTTTCTCGTCCTGGGCACTGAAGAACGAGGCTACACATGAAAGCCCTCCTTTCTTAGGTCAGCACATTATTTAAAGTGTGAACCTCTGTTTCTCCACATATAAAATGGATTTGATAATACGTTCGCATGGAGTTGTGAGGATGGATTGAGATTATGGTGGTGAAAGCACTCTGTATTATAAAATAATAATACGGAAGCAGAGGTTATTATTACTAGGAGGTATATTATTTAGGGACTGTTGAGGCCTCTGGGAGGACATTTCTGAGGAGCCTTCTGATGATTCTGGGTGTCCTAGAACTTTGACTTCCTTTAGTTGGTGTTAATAAGGAAAATAATAATATTCACTGTTATTTGTAAGGGGTGTACATGTGGGAGATGAATTATTCTTTCTCATAGATCTATATATTTATACTTATAAGGACATACATGAGGCATTCATAATTTTCAGCTGTTTAGCCGCTGAACATTTGCTAAACTGTGTATTGCTATGTGCCACCTTCTGTGCATGTGCTTGGATTCACGGATGAGATACGTAATCCTGGCCTTTTAAGAGCTCAAGGTTCGAGGGGAGAGATAAACAAGTAGGTAATTATGACACGGAATGATAAGTGCTGTGCTAGAGGTAAACCTAGAGTCTTTCGAAAGGACCTGTTCTTACTTGAATCCTATCAACTTCCTCTCCAGACTTTGTTGACATGCTGAGAGATCTAGTTTACCAGCTTCGGGGCCTGGAGAAGTGAAGAGTTTGCCTGACATCAGGACCACAGCTGGTCAGTGGTGAAGCTAGAACTGAAGTCTGGGTTGTCACAGTGCCCCACTGTGTCTCCTTCAGCTGCTTTGTCAGCATCAACCTTGACTTTCCTCCTTCACCCGGGATCCTAACTCATTTCAGAGGTGCCTGTCTCCCTGCTCCACCACCTTTTCAAGCTTCTGTTCTTATTACTTTGTCTCACAGTTACTATTGCAATAGAAGGGAAGTAGGACGACCTGGGAGTCTTAAGATTGTACTTGTTGAGGTAGAAGAATGGTTCTTAGCATTGGTTGTACAATAGAATTGTTTATAGTGCTTTTATAAAATAAGGATACCTAAGATTCTGATTTTTTTCTTCCATATATGTTTATACATTATACACACAATTTTCAGGAGATGCTCAGTGAATTTTTGTATATACAGCCATGTGAAGATTACTCACAATATGCATGAGCCCTTGACCAGTGTGGCTCAGCTGGCTACGTGTTGTCCTGCAAAGTGAAAGGTCACCAGTTTGATTTCAGGTCAGGATACATGCCGAGGTTGTGGGTTTGGTCCCCAAGAGTCAACTGACTGGTGTTTCTCTCCCTCTTGTTCTCCTTTCCTTTCCCTCTCTCTAAAAATAAAGGGGGGGGTGGAGAGAAAGAGAAAGAGAGAAAGAAAGGAAGGAAGGAGAAAGAGAGAAAGAAAAAGAAAAAAGAGAGAAAGAAAGAAAGAAAGAAAGAAAGAAAAGAAAGAAAGAAAGAAAGAAAAGAAAGAAAGAAAGAAAGAAAGAAAGAAAGAGGCACGAGATCAAGAACATGTCCAGAACTCCAGAAGCCTCCCTCATGCTACTTCCTCATCAGTACTGGCTGCTCAAGTCACCACTTATTCTGACTTCTACCTCCAGTGATTAGTTTACCTGTTCTTGAATTTCATATAAATAGAATCAGATAGAGTAGCATGCACTCCTTTGGGTCTGGAGTGTTTTGCTCATCACCATATCTGGATATTCATTCATACTGTGTGCAGGAGGATGTAATATGTCATTGTTTGGATGTACCATAATTATTTACTCACTGTTGATGGACAGTTGGGACAGTTAGGCGCTGTGACAAAGCTCCCCTGTACATTCTTAGTCACGTAGAAGTCTTTTGGTGGACGTACACACTCATCTCTGGGGAGAAGAGGGTTGCTGAGTCATATGTTCAGCTTTGGGTAGATGCCGATAACCGGTTTTGTGGTTGTGCTAGGTGTGTTTGACTCATTGTAGAAACTGGGTTAGTTGTCTGACAGTAGTGATATTTATGAAAGCTCCTGAGGTTTTTCTAATATATAGTCAGAGTTTAAAACTCCCAGACTGTATATCTCAGGAATATTCTTAAAGAGAGGGTGAAGGGGAGTAGGCAATAGAATTATAAATAATTTGAGGGTGATTGAAGCTATCAGGTCAGATTAGATCATGGACTTTTTAAAAAAATATATTTATTTTTTAGAGAGAGGGGAAGGGAGGGAGAAAGAGAGGGAGAGAAACATCAGTGTGTGGTTGCCTCTCACGTTCCCCCTACTGGGAACCTGGCCCACAACCCAGGCATGTGCCCTGACTGGGCATCGAACTGGCGACCTTTTGGATCGCAGGCTGGCACTCAGTCCACTGAGCCACACCAGCCAGGGCAGATTGTGGACATCCTGTATAGTAGGAGGAGGATATGGCAGTAGTAATGGCTGTATACCCCAAGGAAGAGTATGGGAATAGTTACTAAGTTTGTATTTGTCCGTTTCACTTTATTGTGCAAATCTTGTTTAGTAGGAACTTCAAAGTTTGATTCTTATTTTTTTTTAAATAGTTTTTAAAATCCTCACCTGAGGACAGTTTTTTCATTGCTTTTTAGAGTGAAGAAAGCAGGTAGAGGAGAGAGAGAAACATCAATGTGAGAGAGAAACATTGATTGATTGCCTCCCATATGTGCCCAAACTGGGGGTCATATACACCTGGACCCAGGATTGGACCCGCAGCCTAGGTATGTACCCTGACTGGGGACCGAGTCCCACAGCCCTTTCGTTATGGGATGATGCTCCCACCAACTGAGCCACACCAGTCGCGCCGAAGGTTGATTCTTAAACCTAAAAATCAGACTTTGGCAGGAAGATATGACTTTTTCCCTGTTGAAGTTCCTTTCTTGTAGAACATCATAGACCAGGGGTGTCAAACTCATTTTCACCGGAGTCACATCAGCCTCACGGTTGCCTTCAAAGGGCTGAATGTAATTTCATCTCCCTAACAGTTAAGGAGTAGTTGCATTTATACAGTCCTAAAATTACTTTGGCCCTTTGAAGGCCCCCGGTGAAAATGAGCTTGACACCCCTGCTCTAGACCATGTGGTATGGACAGTAAGTGCAAAAATTAGAAATTAGCATCAAGTCAATGTAACCAATACTCTATGAGGACTTGCTGTGAACAAATCTCCATGTCAGGTGGGGTGCGGACCGTGCCTGGGTTGCAGGCCAGGTCCCCGGTTGGGGGCGCACGAGAGGCAACCACACATTGGTGTTTCCTTCCCTCTCTTTCTCCCTCCCTTCCCTTCTTTCTAAAAATAAATAAATAAAATCTTTAAAATAAAAAGGAAAGGGAATCAAGTGAAATGAGAAAGAATACAAAATTTTCAGCTCCAGGGACGGGAGGACTTGAGCTGGAAACAGGTTGCCTCGGAGCATGGAGTAGAGTACCCAGAACTGAGGACTCTTCTCAGTAAAACTTGTGCCTGAACTGGCCAGAGGTGGACTGTGTGTGTACCTATAACATAACATTCATCATGTTTTTGGTGTACAAAGTACTTTCACCTACATTATTCCATTTGTTCTCTACGATATTATAGCCAAGACATACTGTCATTCCTGCCTCCCAAACGAGGAAACTTCTCAGAGTTGCAGTAGTTTTACAAGGGCCACAGAACCAGTAACTTGGAGAGACAAGACTGGGACTCAGGGTTCCATTGCCCTTTGTACTGCCCAGTACGTGTGTGAGTGCGAATGTTGTTTTGTTTTTACTACCGAAGACATTGACTGGAGACTTGTTGTTAAGCATGACTTACTCAAAGAATGAGATAAAGAGATAAAGCCACAGCCACAGGACGGACGCGAATGGGGGGAGGCATGGAGAACCCGACAGGGGGCCTGACCATTTTTCCGGACTCGGGTATCCGCCCCGCCTTTTCAGATGCTGCCGGGGTACACCTCTGGCACCACCGGCCCACCCACCCATTTCTCTTAGTGGGTTTTTTTTTTTTTAACTATTTCTGCTGAAACTGGGCAAGTTAATTTCTCAAGATTTCTTTCTCAAGGGCTTCCTGGTACTTAGATGGGGGAAGTGAAACAGAATGAAAATGTGCAGGGAATGTAAGGCTTAATCAGAAGGGTGACGAGAAGAAAACTGAGTTAACATTTATAGAATATATTTCATGCCAGGCCTTACGTGCTCAGGCACTTAATGTATGTTTTCATATAATCCTTATATCGGCCCCATGAAGTTTGGATATTATAATTTCTAAATACACTCGAAGAAACTGAGATTGTGATGTTTAATCACCTACACTGATACGTTCCTGAATTACAGTGAGAACCCAGATTCCCTGGTTTCCGAGACCACGTGTGCCGCCCGGGCAGCGGGCAGAGATGGGGGGAGGGGAGAGCAGGACAGAGAAAAAGGGAAGTTCTCTGGAGGCCACCAAATGGAAAGTAACTTCTTCCCAGGGGTGGAAATAACTACGCCTCCCTTTAGAGGTCAAAGGAGTCCCCACGGAATTTGGCAACATTGGAAACTCCGATGAGCAGTTTCAGTGGAGTGTCGAGGGCAGAAGCCTGACTGGACTGAACTGAGGGAGCGCGAGGTAAAAACATGGCGGGTGTGGGCAACTTCTTCAGGGGGTTTTGCTGTAAAGAGAAGCAGAGACATCAGGGCCGGAGTAGCTGGAAGGAGACATGAGATCAAGAGTAAGCTTATTCTGCCCTGGCTGGCGTAGCTCAGTGGATTGAGCGCGGGCTGGGAACCAAAGTGTCCCAGGTTCGATTCCCAGCCAGGGTACATGCCTGGGTTGCAGGCCAGAACCCCCAGCAACCGCACATTGATGTCTCTCTCTCTCTATCTCCCTCCCTTCCCTCTCTAAAAATAAATAAATAAAATCTTTAAAAAAAAAAAAAAAGAGTAAGTTTATTCTTTTTGCCCCCCCCCCCGCCTTTTTTTGTAAGATGGGAAATTCTACAATGTTGATTCTCAGCTGTGGCCTCTGAATCAACTGGGTTTTTTTTCGAAATGCAGACTCTCAGGTCCCACCCCAAACCTGCTGAATCAGAACCTGCATGTTAATGAGGTCCCCAGCTGATTGGTATGCACATTCGAGTTTGAGAAGCACTGTTCTAGAGGGTGGGTTCTCACGCTGCCTGTGATGCAGGACCGGTTTTTTCCTAATCTGTCTGGGACCTACGTGTGGCACTGCTGCGTCTGATCTGTATGTGGCTAACTCTTCTGTGTGACTCACTGTGTGAGTTTATCAACACCCTTGCTGGTGTAGACCATGTTTTATGGGTTCACTGTTCATCTGCTTGGATGTTCTAACAATGTCATCTTGCTACAAAAATGTCTAAGTGCTTCATCTCAATTTCTGTACTTCTGATGGCGTGTGAGCCAGTGCTGGTTTGTGAGCCACAGTTCAAGTGGGATATTTGTGTCCTGATGGGCATGAGTCTAAAGAGAGAAAAATGGTGATGTAAGGGAGAGCGGGGGTAACTGCGTATGAAGATAAGAGGGAATTGGATCCATTTGAGATAAGAAAGGTTGTGCTTTACATGCCAAGAAAGACTTCATTCTAACAGTAGGAAAAGCAGAATGCCGTTACATTGTTGAATTTGGAGTTAGGAAGTCGGTGGTGTGAATGTTGCTTCTTGGTGACAAGTTATTAAGTGATAAGGACTGGAGGTTTATTGAGAGAAAGATGTGAGAGAGTCATTTTGGACAGTGGGAGAGTGAACCGACAAGGGGAAATGTAGCAGGATTGCTGGCAGCATCGAGGGACCTGTCTGAAATTTGTGGTGGTAAATTGAAAATACTAGTCAATGAAGAACATTTTTAAAAAATATTTTATTTATTTTAGAGGAGAAGGGAGGAAGAAAGAGAGGGCAAGAAACATCTATTTGAGAGAGAAGCATCAATCTGTTGCCTTCTATGCGTGCCCCAGGGGACCGAACCTGCAGCCCAGGCATGTGCTCTGACTGGGAATCAAACCAGTGACCTTTTGGTTTGCAGGACGATGCCCAGCCAACTGAGCCACCCCAGCTGGGGCTCAATGAAGAGCATTTGAAATCTTGCTCCCCGGCGTATGTCATCAGTTTGGCTGAAATAAACTCTTATAAAAAAAAGAAAAATATCCAGTCAAGGCAGTTGTATTTTCTTCAGAGACACAACTTCGTGTATAACTTAGCGGTTTTGGTGTAGGCCTGGAGAGGTTGTCAGTTTGGGTGACCAAGGAGTGAAGTTTTACTAGTTGAATATGAAGAAGGGTTGGGGAGGGTAAGTGAATTAAAGGTGTTTACGAGGTCCTGATTATGAAGAAAGTGAGAATGTGAAGGTGAGGGCATGAATCAGTAATTCCCTTAAATTACATTTTTTATTTTTATCATGGGGAAAATATCTGTAGCAGAGTTGTCATAAAAATTAATTCATGGCCCTGTAGGGGTGGCTCAGTTGTTCGGAGCATCGTCACATACACCGAAAGGTTGTGGGTTCGATCTCCGGTCAGGGCACATGCCTGCGTTGTGGGTTTGATCCCCGGTGAGGGTGTGAACACGAGAGGCAGTGCCTCTCTCTCACATCAATGTCTCTCTCTCTCTCTAAAGTCAATAGAAATTTATCCTCAGATGAGGATTGGAAAAAAAGATGAATTCATGTAAAGTGCCTAAAATGGTGCCTGTTACGTAGTATGTGTCTATATGCACCCAGCATTGTTAGCTGCTATTTCCATCATCTTTCCTGGACCACAGACCTGGACTCTTGGCTGATTTCATCATCATTTTTACCTCTTTCCGTATATTGTCCATACTGAAGCCAAAGTGATCTTTTTGAAAGTACACATTTTAGCCTTATTTAACACCTAAATGACTTCGTATAGTTCTTTGGATAAAGACCCAGATCTGTAATTTGGCCTCCAAGGGCTTGCATGCATGGTGTGGCTCTCTCCATATGTCTCCCCACGCGTCCGGCTGACCTCCCTGCTGTGGTCACACACAGATCTCCTGGAGTTCCTCGAGCTCACCCTGCTTCCTCTTCTCTTTGGAACGCCCTCACCCCTGGTGGGAGGTCAGCTTCTTTTCATTGTATTTCATGTAGTTTAAATTTAATAGTGTGATCTTTCCTCAGTATTTTTCTGTTGCACTATACAGCCAATACCATGACGGCAGGTCTTTCTACTCACTGTTTTGTTTCCAGTGTTTAAACTCAGAGGTTGATATTTGAACGAACGAAGGAATGAATGAATGAACCAGTTAACGAGTAAACTACCCATCATCTTATGTTAGGTTTGTGATGTTGAGGCTGTGGGTCAGGACTGGCTTTCTTGAGGGTAAGATTGGAGAGATAATTCCTTAGAGAGGTGGTATGATGGAGAGGAGAAAGGAAAATTGGGGGCACAAATAACTGGGTAAAAATCAACTTCTCAGCTGGTACTTATCAGCTAGCTACATGACTTTGAGCCTTTATTTCTTCCTCATTTATAAAGTAGACCCAGTATTATTTACCTGATAGGGTTACTGTGGAGATTACGTTAGGTAATAAAAGCACTTTTGGTTCCTTTCTCCCCGAAGGGTAATTGCTGTGACTTGCTGTTTAATTATATTTGACATTACCTGCTTTTATCCTTGTGGCACCATAATATCCTAGTCATAGACTTCCAGAGGTTAAAGGGAGCCGGCATGTTTTTCTGATTCAGCCAGCTTTCCTAGAGCAGGTGCGTTACCCACACTTTTCTTCCTG